GTTTTAGGAACTGGAGCAAAACCTGCAGACTTCACCGGATTCCTCCCTCCTCGTGGATATCCTGCACAAGGTACCGTGGGCTTGGTGTACTTCACATTTGCTAGTAGCCGTGGTTAATGATCACGCCAGTAACTGTTAGTTACCGCATGGGAACAGTTGCGAGGTCAAGCAAAAAGAACAAGCTTCGACCTCCAAATCTCAGAAAATAAGTAGAACGTCCTGGACCACACAGACAATGTCTGGAATTGTTCTGAGGATGAATTATTTGACAACTTGGCGAAGCAAAAATTTGCTTGCTTAACTTGGCAATGAAACTAGCTTCTGAGTGTCCTTACAGTGAACTGCCTTCGCTATAACACTAAAAAACACACCTGGGTCAAAAAGACCCCCGCCCTGGTTAAGACCCTTCCCCTGAGCATTGCATATTATTAGAAATATCAGGTAAGCAATGAACACTAACCAATTAGTATCTAATAGGCATGTTATGGAAAAGTACTAACTTGATTTTTGTGTATTAAAGGAGCATGAAAACCTGCTGTTGGGGTGCTTGATTTGTGGAAAAGTCCACCAAGCACCCAGGCCTGAATAAATACAGCATCTCTCCTGAGCGTGTTAAGATCGGGTTATTGCACACTGGGCACTTTCAGGTCCCTGGGTGACTTGGTGTCACAGCAGTGCCCGGGCAGCAGGCCCAAACCGCTCTGAATGTGTGATGCCGACCTGTGGGATCAGAGCAATTGCTGTTTTTTCCTCATAATTACAAAGATAAGAGACCTGCTGTCACAGTTTTTCATTGGGCCCAGCAGAACAGTAAATTTCCTTCTCCTTCTGTTATTTAGCTGTTCTTAGCATCAAAATTAAGACATATGTGCCTAAGCACGGGTGTTTCTAATGCCACAAGCAAGCCAGCCCACCTGGCCCTGTGTCTCGGTACTCTGATGGTCAAGAAGGTGATCACTGTGGTGATGCATCAGCCCTTATGGTGCTTTAACTCTACACGTGGATGGGAAACTGCAAATAAGGTGGCAAACCAAAGAGAAGAGAAAAATCAAAAGAAGGAGGAGAGCAAATTGGATTCTTTTTCCGCTCTGTTTTGTTAGATCTGTAAACTAACCGACTGATTAGAAAACACCAGATTTCATTTTCTGGCTCAGCATCACTTCTTTTAGCTACAGACTGAATTGCAATGCATTTCATGACACACAGAGCCAACTAATGACTCCCTGGCCTTTCTCTGGCCCGTTACTGCCTCTCAGAAAAGCTTCACTTGGTATCTGGTTTTAATTGCTGTTCTGGTTTCAGACCATCCTCCACCCTTTGTGTGTAAAATATCCCCCTTCCGCCAAGTACAGAAGATGCTTTCTAACTGAACTCATCAAAAAGGTAGTGCTTACTTTTTTTTTTTTTTTTTTTCTTGAAGATAATGTCCAGTGTAAAATATTATGGCCACCAATGTATTAAAATGGGACTTCATGTGTTCCTGCCCTGTTCTCTTTCACACAGCATGAATCCACAGCAGCTGAGCCCCTGGATGAATTGTACGATACACTGGCGGATATTTTAAATGAAGAAGAATCTACTCATTGTTACAAAACCTACTTACTAGTAAGAACTAATGCTTTGTTATTATAAATCACTTTTATTTACCTGAATTAAGCAATAATTGGCTTTAAAAACAGCTCCCTAGAAAACCAGAGTGCTTCCTACATTTTTCCAGGCACTAATCTTGATTGTAAACTGTAAAACCTGTTGTCTGTGCTGATCCATCTTTGCTTTCTTGTGTCTCCTCCAGCCCAGGGGAGAATGCGTTACCCTTTCCGAGAACGTAGCAATTATCTCTGGAGGAACCACAGGGCTCGTCACGTGGGACGCTGCTGTTCATCTCGCTGAATGGGCAATGGACACTTCTGAGGTTTTTACTAACAGGTAAAGACAGCAGCACAGATGGAAAGATATTTTCATTCATGTTGTGAGCTATACAACTGTAATTTAATAATATTTACCCCACAGATAACTGAAATGAATACACCTTTTTGTTACTGGATAACTGGTGCTCTCACTGTTCTTGCAACAGTCAAACTTTAATCCAGGAGGGGACCTTTTAAGACAGTTTTTAAAATCAAAACCATTTACAGCATGCAGTCAGATATGCTCCGTTAAGTAAGCTGTTAAATTCCAGCTACTGCACTGTCTAGCCAGTAACTTCAACTAGTGCACTTCATGGTGGGATTCTTCTCACCTAACTTTAGATGGTGGATGTGCAGGTGTGCACATCTGATCTCATTGTCTCAACTTTGTTTATATAAGCACTTGAGAGGAACAAGCACTTCTGAGGAAAGGTTCAGCTAAATTAATTTAATCAGCCCCCCAAGGAAAGGAACTGTGATGCCGAAGTATCTTTCCACTGACTATGAAAAGATTTGGTCAACCAGTTCACATGGAGACAACTGTGCTGCAGGGGGACTAGAAACAGGCGGGAAGTTTTATCATCCCCGCAGTGGAAATGCATTCTATATGCAAAAGCAGTATTTAAAGTAATTAATTTTTATGCTTACAATTGCATCTTCAGTGTTTACCAACTCTCCCAGTTGAGACAAAGATTTAAGTTGTAGATGATTTATTAAAAAATTATTGAAATAATCTGAAACTGACTTTACATTTAGATATACTCAGAATGTTTTGATTTTCTAAGTCAATTTAGAGTCCTAATAAGTACTTCTTTTACTCCATCACCCTTCAGGACAGTCTTGGAATTAGGAAGTGGGATCGGCTTCACTGGAATTGCAATCTGTAAAACCTGCAATCCCAAAACATACATATTTAGTGACTACCACCCCTGTGTTCTCAAACAGCTGACAGAAAACATCCATTTGAATGGCTTTGTCTTGGAGCCTGAAGCCACCCAGCGTACCCCAGCAGAGTCCCAAGGCCAGGAGGCAGAAGCAGCAAATTACCAAAACCCAAAACTAATTGTTGCAGAACTTGACTGGGGTTCAGTTACAGAAAAACAACTGTTGGATCTTCAACCTGATGTCATCATTGCAGCAGGTACTTCACAAGGTGTGCAGTCATGCAGGAATAACCAGGTTAGAGAGATAAATGCAAAAGTAGTTGTGTGCAGGACTCATTCACAACCCTACTTCAGTTACTGTATCTGGAAGGGTGTGACATCTGGTTCATTTCACCATTTTGTCTTTTTCAGATATTCAGCAGCTGCGCACATAATGCCAAAAAGTAAATTATTTTTTCCCTTCAGCGTTTTAAAAAAAAAAATAAATCTATCAACAGAAGATGATATATCTGTGGCTCTTAAGAGCCACATCAATAACAGGCCTTCTTGGCATTCTCTTGAGGGATAACATATCAAAAGAAAAAAAAAGCACAAACCACAAACCTTTTCCAGAACTTGCCTATCTGTAAATCTGGGGGGTTTGTAGAATAAATCTGATGTATAAATCTACGTATAAAAAAAAATCTAATAATGGAAATCTAGCAATAGTAAAATGTCTTAGCTGTAGCTACAGGATTTTACTCCCCGATTTGGGGCTTTGCAAAGCAAAAATTACTTAAGAATGTAGGTTAAAAAATGACCAAATATACTGCCTTTGTCATCAGAGTATCACATGATACATTAAATATGTGAATCCTGTAAGTCACCATTATGTATGTTACCTAATGCCAACCACAGTGTTCAGAGAATGCACAAACCAGCCCAAGCTGGACTCAAAACAAGGCAACTCAAAACTGAAGGTGATTTATCTGTATCTCTCTTCTATTTGCTGTTACTAGTTACTGCAGGACATTCCCTTATGATGGTGCACCAAGAGTAACTGGGCTGTCATTGGTACATGTATATGCCTCGACATTTCTGTGTAGTAAACAACCTCTTGAATATCAGTCCTGAACACGAGACTGGTGCGTTTCAGCGTAGCAAGGCTGACATTTTGTACCCCTTAATCAGTTTTACCTTTCGTCACTATTTCTGCTCTCAAGGAAATTATTCAAGATGAAAACTGCTGCAGTTCAAATCAAGTCTTTTGCAATCAGCTTCTAAAATAGATTTTGAACAATGCAGTTTCAGTCTGCCAAGTACAGTCGCCAGAGAGTACCAACACTTGGATGTTTTTGCTGTCTGCCTTAAAATGGGCTTAAATACAGTATCTGACAATCCATTTACAAAAAGGAGCACTGATTTCTTAGTGATTTTGGACTGATATTAGAGATGAGGGCAACTTGACACAGCACATAAAATAGAGGTATTTTCTAAGATCTTTTCCTGGGAGTTTTTAACCTCTGAATAGAAAAATATTCTCCTGCAAGGTGAAAATTTTTTTTGTAGTTTTCATTCTGCTTTTTGCTCACTTCTCAATAAATACTGAATGTTTTCCTTTTTCCACAGATGTGGTATATGATCCAGAGATAATTTTAGCCCTTGTTGGTATGCTTCAAAAACTCTCCGCTTTCAGAGCAGATAGGAAAGTTCCTGAGGTCTACATTGCTTTCACCATTCGTAATCCGGACACGTATCACTTGTTCCAGGCTGAACTTGGTAGGTGCCTTTTTCATGAAGCGTATCAGTAATTTTGGCCTCTTTTCCCATTATTTCATCTGTAGTAGAGAAGAACAGGAGCATTTTCTGGTGGTGGGTATTGTCCAATAGTGAGATTCTTATCTAGAGCTGGATTTAAGAGCAGTAACTTTCCCACATGGATTTGATCAGGAGATTGGAATGTAGCTTTTTGCTACATCCTGTCTATCACAACTCACGTCTGTTAGCGCCAGCTTGAAATGCAAGTGTAGTGGCAACAGAAAACTAAAAAAGGGTTAAGCTTAAAGAAGGAAAACCATATGTGCTGCACTGTCACAGTGGTAACATTCAAGATGCAGCCTAAAACGTTTTAACTGTTCTTTGAGGGTTAAGAAACCTTAAAGTAAATTGGGGAGGGATTTTTGGATTTCTTTTCATGTACTCTTCACAAGCCTGCAGTTTTGCAGTCTCCTGGCTGTACAGTCTACAGCAATTGGTTAATTCACAAAATTATGCTGAGTGCATAGCAGCAGCATTACTGTTAATTTTTAAACATATATATTCATGAGCATTTGCCTGTAGCTTGCTTTAACAGTGTGCTAAAGAACTTGACATGCAGCTTTTATTCTTCCCTTTATTAAGCAGAAATATTATTCCCGGTGTTTCTCTTTACAGATAAAGTTGGGATCAGATGGCAGATTATTCCATCTCACAGCAACAGTATTTTTCTCCATGACATGCAGCCAAATGTAACTATTTTTCAGCTATTTATATAGACTTGGCAAATATAATGTAACCAGAATTTTCAGACCAAGGGGAAGTATCTTCTCCATATAACATATAATGTACATGAGGGACTGAGGATACAACTCTGACATCAGTCCAGGCATAAAGTGAGTTCTGTTTCTTCCTGTAATTGTCAGCATGTATGCAAGCAAGATGCTACCCCTGAAAAGCAACAGGGGAAAAAGAAAAGCCCTAAATCATACTGCACTTCAATTCTGTAGAAAGCAACAGAATTGAACTGTATTTTTTTTTTCCCATGTTTTGATTTGTAAATAGTGGGAGGCACATCTGCAGGCTGCACTGACAGGGGAGCAAAATGATGTTTCATTGTAATAAATATTTTTACTATTAAATCCAGCTGTAATTGTCTACTTTTTATACTTGTCTGTATATACCTGCAGTATGGGTCCTCTTAATACCCCTGTTACCAAAACAGGATAAAAGAACCTATTGACACCATGTGATGTAGATGAGCAGACACTCCTTTATTAACAGCTGGGTGCACAGGGGAGTCACCAGCAGCGCACACCTCACTCCTGTAGCATGCTGATTACATACGGTACAGTCGGACATATTAATCACTTTCTCATACATACAGGAGTTAACTCCTTTAACTCAGTTTCTTATTCCCACCTCTTCCCGGTCACATGCACTTGAGTCCTGAAATGAGTCGGGGGCTGCTTTTGTGACCACCATGGACTGCTGACCTAAAAGAAACACCCTCCACTGCCCTTGAGGCAAGGATTTTTGGCTTGCACTGTGATTTTAACATGCTTCAAGGCCCTTTCACAATGTAACTGTTAGAACACCTGGTCTACAGGGCAATAAATCATCCTGACTGAACAGTCTAACAATGGTACCTCATCACGAGTCATTCTTTGTATAGAAATCTGGTTAATGATTATCACTAGTCTACTTGGCCTCAGGCTGGGAATTCACAAAGAACTCTGTAGCAGCACGTGTTACTCTGTATCATTCCTTATTTAAATCCAAACCATCAAAAATCATTAAAATCAGCTCAAATCAATACCAAATCAGTAACACCCCCAGTCAATGTAGCATATAGTGTCACAAGCTTACACGGTGCTGCAAGAGGTCAAGAGACGCTGCTGTAACTAAGGTTCATCTTTACTCCCCCATAAGGGCTGTCACAACTAGCTCTTGGGAAGCAGCCTCTCAGACTGGCCAGAAAATGGAAAAAGAAATCACACTCTGTAGCAATGCCCTAGATATATTGTGTGAGGAAGAATGGAGCTCACCTTCTCTGAAACTTTTTGTAATCCATTAATCATTTTCCTGTTGGACAGAAAAACAAATATGCTGCTCTTTCTCCACTTCTGACTTCCTTTTCTGTACCTTGTTTTAAAAGCTACTTAAAAGATGAACACAGACTTTAGCTGCCTCCTTCTGTAGTAATGGAGAGAAAATGGATGATAGGTAATTTGAAACTTGAATAATCACTTTACTCTCTAAGCCAAAGGAGGCCATGACTGCTACTATGAAGTTGGATGTGCAGAAGTAACTCCTCAAGAAGAATTCAAAGGTACTATTTGTAAGTACATGCTAGCAGCCCAAAAAAGAGCTCCTTTATCTCCCCTTACAGAAAATTTTTCAAGTCACTCAGATATTCTGTACAGATGGCTCATTTTGGATCTAAAAAATTTTTACAGGAAGATGAAACCTCTCTCAAGCTTTCAGCACACCTGTTCAAAGAAGTGCCTAATTCAACCGTGTGTACATCAAGGGCTAAAGGGGAATGGCCAAACCACCAGACAGGATTTTGCTTGACAACAGTAGGGGGAAAAAAAAAAAAATAAAATCACCAAATAAATCTTGATGGATCATTCTTCCAACTAGTGAAATTGCCAAACTCCTGCAGTAAGCAATCTTATTTTCAACTTCTCACCAGTGGAACAAAATCATTGTCAACAGTCTTTTTTCACAAGAGTTTACTGTAACCACGGTGCAGAAGGGGAAAGGCAATATTAGCAAATGGCTGTCAAGACTAAGTGGGTTCATAAACGCTGGTACAGAACCCATTGTAATCATCTGCCACCACTGAACGAGGAACCCCAAAGAGCAGTAACCACATGATAAAACCAAGCATTTATTCCTTAAACGACTGACATCTATTTTATAATCAAAAAAGTGATAAAAAAAGCATCTTGTAAGCATTAGGTCTGTACATGAATACTGATATTAACAATCAAAAGATGAAGGGGTATACCTGAGTGAGCACTCAGAAAGCGAGGTGCCCTTTTATCAAGTCGCATACTTCAATAATATGTTTTGGTTTGACTTCTATTCATCTGTTCAAAAAGGGACAGATTTTATGTTCTTTCTCAAGGTAAATGGGCATGTTCACTTCAGTGTACAAGGACAACACTCACTGAAAGGTCTATTTTCCTCTAAGAGCTCAATCAAGCTGTCACATACCAGTGGCTGTGCTTTCACATTCTTGCACACACTGTAAAAAGGAAAACTTTGAAACAAAATTGTTCTGTCTCAAAATTATGCAAGGATACTCAGCACTTGTCTAGGGAAAACTGACCAAGATATTAACTGGTAGAAAAAAATTAAAATCCCACTGTATTCTCAGTTCAAATAAAACAATTCCCATAGAAGGCATCCCCCATTTGTAAGAAAACATACCCAAATCACCTACTAAAGTGCTTACTGTACAATAGGTGTAACTGGTGATAGTTTACACATGCATTCAAATATCTTCACCAAAGTGACCTTTAAGCAGCACAGGTAACAGATTTTGCATATGAGTTCCTGGAGTAACTAAACATCCCTCTCACTTTCTAAAGATTCATCCCAAGTGGTAAGGAAGGAAAGGCAGTCCAGATGGCAAGCCTCAAGCTCTCCAGCACAGGAACCATCTCTTCCCTCAAGATTTACACTGTTAGCGCACAACAAATAGCCTTGGCTGCACCTTCAGCACTATTCTTACTCACAGGAGAATCTCAAATTATAAAGGGAGAGGTGTGTCCAAACACTTGTTCCAAGATTAAGTAGTTACAAACTGCAACTATAGACAAAGTGTTTATTCACTATTTATCAAATCTCTGCAGCTCCAGGAATGCATTGGCTTTTTTGACACCCTCCTCCCCCCACAAAAAGTCATTCATTCTGCCCAAACAAAGGAAGAACAGTCTGGTCCCAACTCTCATCCCAGCGCAGCTGCTTGGATGCACGAAGGTTTTTTCTGAAGTTGTGAAGTTTGCCCTCCAGTGTAGGAAATCCCAAGAAAAGCATCTGTAAGTTAAAAATGAAAAACAGAAAAATACCATCATGTTACATTTTAGGTTCATTCTAACCTCCCCATTGTTAACCCTCAACTACACTGCTGCAGTAAGGGAGCAGGCTTAGGTCTGGACCTATAAATAGTGAACAATGACAAATTTTAAATGTTCTTGTGAGCTTCAGATTCATATTTAAATAGAAGCGAGGCAAATAATATTCATCAGCCAAAACAGTATCTTCTGAGAAAGCAAAATACATGGATGACAGACATAAAAAGGTGGCTCACATAGTAGCACCTTTGCAGTTATAGCTAGTGGAAAAGAAAAATCAGTCAAGCCTTTACCTTTAGTTGTTCTGCAAGTTCATTTGAGTCCCTAAATATCAGACCATTTTCATCGTGTTTCACAAGTTCATGTAAACTGTGATCAAAAGTAACAGAAGAAAACGTGAGACAAAAAGCTGCAAGAAGGACATACACATTTAAAAACTTGCAGTGACACCCGAAAAGATCACACTAGGATGTCTGTTACATAATGATCCTGGATGTCTAGCTACGAGCTTCATACCTGACAAACCAGAATGAATGTGGCAGTTTTTAAACATTTAAGTGTAAAGATTTTTTCTCCCTTCTATGTCAAGACTATTTATATCTACCATTACAGTGCAAAAGGGCCCTCACTCCAGCTTTGTGCCACTCATCTGCACATACATTAAAAATCAGGGCAATAATCTACTTTAAAATTACCCCACAAGGAAAATCTGTCCATGAGGCAGTTCATGAGCTCTCCAGAGAGCATTTATCTTTCTTTATAAAAGCTACTGTCTCCCCAAAGGACCATAAATTTCAAGACTGATGACGCATACACTCACCCCTTCACAGAACAGACACGTCCATGCAGATAAAATGAAGTATATGGAAACAAAGGATCACAGGGTAGTTATTTTTTAAGGCAAGTGGTTGCATTAAAAGCTCCCAACTTTGTAGAAACTAGTGTTAATTTTTTGACTTACTGTAAAGCCACCTTGATTTCTAACCTATCATATTGAATTTTTAAAAGTTACTATGGAATACTACTGGAATCTCATTTGGTGCATGTGGTAGCTGAACTCTTTCTTTTTAAGAATAATGTTTTATATGATCCACTTAAACTGTAACAGAATAAACAAGCTCTTACCATTCAAAATATACTGCACACACAGGTAAACTGCAGCCAAACATATCCACCACCTTCATGGGCAAATCCAAACCACTAGATGATTTATGGAGACACACTCCCAGGTCTGCTGAGCCTGAAAAGCAAACGGAACAGACAAGAGGCTGAATTCTCTCAATGCAGCACCTCAAGTCTTACTGTAAACCTTTCTATTTATGTACTACTTTGGGTGATACAAGCTAAACATGAGCAACCTTGAACACCATCCAGACTGACTCAATTTTAAGCACTCGGGGCAGGGGCGGGAAGCACAATATATTTTGTAACCAAAATTAGTCAGGCTTTAGAAACATACCAGGCAAGTGCAGATTAAAATAAAGGGAATTTTAGAATTTCATTTATCTTAAAAGAGCCTTTCTGCCTCTTAATCTACTAAGAATGGGTAAATGCACAGGAAAACTCCATCACAATCCAGACAGGCTATGCTGCGTGGCTCACTAGCGACCTCTTCCTGTTCAAGTGATTTCAAAACAGAGAAATTACAGTGTGATTTTACAGACATTAGTTAAAAAGTACCAAATAAACACAGTGTTTTACAGCCATATAAACTGGCAGGCTCTAACCCCGCAGAATGTAGATCAAGTTGAATCATGTACTTTATTAAGCTTACTCACACTTTATGTTATTACCATAAACACACTGAGGGAATACTATTCCAGGGACATTTTAATTTAGAATTTCAGCTACTTTTGGTTGCTCAGCCAAAAACTTTGATTTCATTTACTGAAGTGACCCTGAAACTGCACAGGCACCCTGTACTTCAGCATAGTTAGAAGAAACAAAGAGTACAAAGAACAGGCTAAAACAGCAATACAGGTACTATGCCTAATTGTAGTTAAGAGAAATTTAGCAGTTTTGCTGGCATGAGCCAAAACCACAAATATACTGTCATTAACCAGCAACTTCATTTGCTTATTATATTCTGCCAGCTTCTGTGCAAAATCTGTTGTCAGCTCTCTGCAACTGTGCTAAATTCTTCTTCACACATTCTGAAGCCTATTTCATAATCCACTGTTTACCAAGCAGAAGAGGGTAATCCTCAGCTTCAAGCCACGGTGTACAGATCTGGATATGCTTAAAGTGCAGTTTATTTATCAGTCCATTGTAGTAGTCTTTTAGAGGTCCTTTACCTGTTTTAAAAAAAAACCCCAAATATATAATAGTTTATCACAATGACTGAAAATACTGTGGCCTGTGCATCTTACTGTACAGCTGACAAACTCCTGTTGTACCAGATATCACACACAATCCCCAAAAAGGTATGTAAAAGACTAAGTCCCCTCGAAAACAATGTGAACCTAGACCTCTCTCACTCAGGATTTAGAATAATGTGCCATCAATACAGAAGCACTTTGTTTGGAAAGGGCCTTTAAGATCATCAAGTCCAATCATTAACCTAATACTGCCAAGCCCACCACTAAACCATGTCCCTGAGCACCACACCTACACATTTTTAAAATACTTCCAGGGATGGTGACTCAACAACTTTCCTGGACAGCCTGTTCCTGTGCTTGACAACCCTTTCAGTGAATAAATTTTTCCCAATATCCAGTCTAAACCTCCCCTGGTGCAATTTGAGGCTGTTTCTCATCCTATCACTTGTTACTTGGGAGAAGAGACCAACCCCCACCTCGCTACAACCTCCTTTCAGGTAGCTGTAGAGAGCCATAAGGTCTCCCCTCAGGCTCCTTTCTCCAGACTAAACACCCCCAGTTCCCCCAGCAGCTCCTCACAAGACTTGTGCTCCAGACCCTTCACCAGCTTCGGTGCCCTTCTCTGGACACACCCCAGCACCTCAATGTCTTCCTGTAGTGAGGGGCCCAAAACTGAACACAGTATTTAAGGTGCAGCCTCACCAGTGCCAAGTACAGGGGTAAGATCCCTTCCCTGTCCCTGCTGGCCACACTACTCCTGATACAAGCCAGAATGCCCTTGGCCTTCTTGCCCACCCGGGCACACTGCTGGCTCATATTCAGCCAGCTGTCAACCAACGTTCCCAGATCCTTTTCTGCTGGGCAGCTTTCCAGCCACTTGTCCCCAAGCCTGTCGTGTTGCAGGGGGTTGTTGTGACCCAGGTGCAGGATCCGGCACTGAGCCTTGTTGAACCTCATACAACTGGGGGCCTATCAATATCCCCCAGTCCTGACTGCGTTTTGCCTACAGCCATAAGATAACCAAATAACCAATGAAAAATTTAATCAGCACAACTGGCCTTTCAAAATCACACTAAGTTTTAGTTTGCTCTGTGTTGGTTTAGGCCCTGCTGGGACCGGAGACCACGTTGCCGTTGCCCCTCCCCCACCCTCAGCCGGTCAGGCTTGCAGTGAGGTACAAA